ATTTCAGCTTGTATAGTATTACTCGCTGCGTATGTTGAGACGTGTCAGGAGGAAGGTTTAGCGCGGCGCCAGGTCGTTTTCCGGTTACTGTTGCTTGTTCATTCAACAGTTGGTGGAAAACGGGTTGGCCCAGTCTCCCTGACACCTGCCAGCATGAGCATCGAACAGCTGTAGTACATCGTTATTCTATAGATGCCAGCTGTAGAATATACCTACTCATGTTAAGCTGCGTTTATACTTTACGAGTGTGACGAATTGGCGATTCTCGTACGATCCCGGTTGCGGACTCTGCACATTCGTAACGCCCGTTCATATTTTGCGACAGGGGAAGAACACGGCGGCATTTTTCCTGCAGAATGCGCCCCAAGGAAAGTACTATCAAACCGGAGACTTATGAGAAGAAGAGAGTCGACGAGTTTAGGGAAAATGGGAAAGAGGAGTAAATGGGAATCGATCGGGGCTAATGCTAAGAGAGGAGACTACGATTACCTCCTGGGCTCAGCCTTAGCAGAGCGCAGGTAACCGTAGTGTCATCCATTAGCGCCAGCGCCAAAAATGAATGTCATATTCGTGATCAGGATGTTGAATTACCCCTATATACAAGTTTTTAGCGGATTTGGTGATCTTGCCACTTTTAAAATGAGCTCGGAGCCGAAATTTCTGGAGTCCAAACGGCATTAGCCATCGACCGGCTCTATCGCTAGCGCGTCTTACCGCAATTCGCCTTTTCCCCTAATTCTCCATAATCGTCGATTCGCCCGTTCTATTTTTCTCATTCTCTCGAGCTGCAAGCTATAAACTCGGCCTGGGGCACATAAGGCCGTAGGCCCTGTAGTCTAGTTCACGGTCATAGAGAGTCAGCAATTTCAAATAGCTGAAGGAAAACGGAAAATTAGCGGTTTCTTTGTGTGTTATCAGTGTGCATATAGATTACTGAGACGTGTATGACAGTTTATTTGGATTTTAATCTGGTCTGACTAATTGGTGTAGCCCTGAAATCATAAGTGAAGCAATAGCTCCCGAATATTCCGACATTACATATCTATGCATATGAATTCGCACATCTGGTTCATTTAGATTATGCATGATGCATATTGAGCTCCGATTCTTCTCATCATGCATCTATTTCTAATATTTTTTGATCACATTTCTGCTTTTGAATACCCCTATCTTTTGCTCTTTTTGCTACTTCCACTAAAGTGCGTTCATACTTGCCTCAGCGTTCTGAGCGTTTCGAGCGTACGCGAGCGCCAGCGATTAGGAAAGTATAGGTATCGCTCCGGCGATTTCGAGCGACTGGGAAAGTATAGATATCGACTCAGCGGTTGCGCACGCTTCATCTTCACGACGCCTAGTCCAGTAGTCCCTTAACCTCCTACTTCCCATCTCCTTCCGCCCTGCCAGCGCCTGCGTGGTACGCACTCAAAAACGCTACTTTCTCATTCGCTCGAAAATGCGGCTTGTACGCTGGCCATAGTGCGTACGCCTAGATCGAATCTTATACTATAGATCGTTAGCGCTGACGTCGCTGCTCTTGAAATGCTGTGACGGCTGGCGTACGCTGACGGCAGGAGTGGTGAACGCCAGCCATAGTGCGTGACATGAGTAAACTGGCTATATAACAGCGGTTCTTACCGATCCCTCTGTTTGAGTCGCGTAGAAAATTTGCCTTATTAACCACCCTCCTGTGTAAATTTAGCAGCGATTTTCGCATTTATTTTCATATTCTATAATGTCAGTTTATCTTCGGGCTCTGAAAAGAAATTTATTTTTCAGCTCTGTTTTGGAAGTTGGCTCAACGCCTACAACTGGCAATGCTAGCGACGATTCATCATGGCGACGATGTGTGCTGGAAGAACTTCGTAAAGCTCAAGGGGAGCCACTAACACCGGAGGAGTTATTTGAGCGTTGCGGTGGAACAAAAGCAACGAATCTCAGCATAGACGCATTCATGTTCGTTTTTTTTCGTCGTGGTACACACACACACTGGGCGTTGATATTGCATCAAAAGGGCCCGTGCGCAAAACCAGGTTCCCACAAACGCAAGGTGATGGACTTATATCGCTCATGATAGCGTCCTCGTCAACTGGGGTATATGTTTCAAACGCTTTTTGCCGATGGGGACGTTGATCTCAATCTTTCGACGAGGAGTCCTTTAAAATGCCTCCGATGCCTCACGTTTTGCTTCCTCGTTTTTCGTTGCTGACATAGTGTATACGATATATTCGAAATGATTCTTTGACCATGTACTACGTAGTCCGCGCAGTACAGAATCCAAGAACTTGCTCACTTCAAATAGGGAGATAAATTTCCAATAGCAGCCAGTTCTCTGCGATGCGCAAATGCTTCTCGGATATCGGTAGGAGTAGGCAAGCTCCTGCAAAGGTACTGGTCTTGTAAGAGTTAAGAGGTCTTATAAGTTTATTGCCTCCTAAGAGGAACTGTTTGAGACAACTCACTATTAGTCGCATGACCCCAGCTGCAGCCCCGGGTTCCTTCATCTGCAATGTCGCTGCTTTGGGTGAGGTTTGCGCGTCTTGAAGTGAGCGCTGTGCACCTTTTGTTGTGGAATTTCGCGCAAGATCAGGAATGAAAACTAAAAAAGTTTGCGACACTAAGTAACTTGAATGCGCGAGTGGCAGAATGGCTCGTGAAGTCATGCGCGTTTTCTTTTCAAGTAATAATTACTCGATATATTAAGGGCTTTCGTTGGACAGCACTGCTCACGAGCTGTAAAGGCGATTCACGATGCAGGTGACGAAAACAGTCTCCCTAGGTAGGGTAAATTTTTCAGCTGATCGTAGTTATATATTTTGCCGTTATGTGCTTCGGTAGGGGTTAACCTACAATTTCGCATCAGTCCTTTGGTAGCCTGCAATTTTCGAAAGGAGAGTTTCGAGAGGTGAACCTCATACCTCCTGAAGAAAACAGAATGCGCACATGTGCAACCCTGAAGCTCCATCCCTCCCCCACTCATCAGAATCGCAGGCAACCATACAGGGCATATCCCAGAATGTCCATTGGATCTTTGGAATGCGCGAAGCCATACGTTTTTTTTATCGTACCTATTGAAGCCCTGGTTTTTCTTTACGTCTTTTAATCATGCCACCTCGACTAAGAATGTATTTTGCCGGGTGTCTCCTGGACAATTAATAGATTTCTTCACGCTGCAGAAATAATGCACAACAACTGTCTTGAAATTCATTATGTTGTATGGGGCCGTGAAAGTCTTTTTCGATACGTTCTTTTCAAGACTGCTTTTCCGAAAATTATCTGCTGGTAGAAATCCTACTATATATAATCCGCTAAGTTTGTCTGTTGGTGTGTGTGAATTGTGTGTGTATCTGTATGTTGTTTGACCGGAAATTCATAACTTCCTTGCAAACAGCGCAATTGAGCGCTCAAATTGTATAGAGTTGATCTGGGGAGTCAAGAACGAAACACTATGGTAGGTGGCAGGAAGTGATAACAGCCGATGAAAAACCATAAGGAGCCTTCGAAAGGTTCACTAACACTTCATAACGCGCGTCACAGCGACGGTAGACGTGTTTTCTAGAAGTAATATATGGAGCAGGATGGGAACATTATTGGTGGGTGGCAGGACGTGATAACAGCCGATAAAGTACCGTAGGGGCCCACTTCAGGAAGGGCCTCAAAATTCAATGCAAGAGTCGGAGCAACAACGGGGAGCTGCATCTTTACTCTGCCTGCGACTGAACTTGACCACCGTGGCCCAAGAATTAATGGGCCAAACCTTAGTGAGCCGAGATGTTCCTATCCCTTAGCGATGTAGTCGGAATTGATCCGACCGCTAACTCTCGAGTACCACCCAAAAGTAAAGCCTAAAGATGTTTAGAGGAATGATAAGAGTCACCAATAGACGGATATGTGAAAGCTGCTCAACGGAAGTACTAGGATGTAAGAACATTTCACTATGATTCCGATATTGTTACCATTGAAACTCTTTCAACCGCTAAGCTGTCCCATTTCCAACGAATGGTGAGTGTTGTGATAAGCACCATACGTTGGCAAATGTTCATAAAGAGGAGAATTATGATGAAATGGGCCGTGTTTCGAAGCATGGGAATAAAGCGAAGTGTTAGGGGTCACCACAAAATTCTGCCAGTGATCAGTACCATAGGTTTAACCATTCGCGCAGTAGTGCGCGTCAGCCAAACTGGTAATTAATAAATGAGAGAGTGTGAGCTGTTCTTGTGATGGCTTATTTTCTAGCTTCACCCTTAGCTTTGCTTCATTTCTCAAAACTCTTACTTCATTCATTAGCTCTGAGAGTGACAAATGTGCCTTTATCTGCAGCGCTTTCCTAGCTTTTTAAGAATCGCAGAAGAACAAGTTTTAGATATGCTCTTCATGTTGACTCCTCAAGGAAAACTGGTACACTGAAGAGGAGAGCGGCTAGGTCACAGAGTCAGTCAAGCT